AGCATCTGAGTAACCACAACTCCCTGGAAGCAGTAAGATTATTGGGTAATGAATGTAACACTATTATTATTATATCTTTACAGGGATGCCTCTATGATGGCAATGCGTAGACGTATTCAAGGATTACGACCAGATGAGATTCGTAATATTCCAAAAGATGAGCTTGATCTTCCCACCAACATGGCAGATTTCCAGGAAGCGATTAAAAAAGTATCCAAATCTGTTGGACAAGAAGATTTACAGAAATATGAAAAATGGATGGAGGAGTTTGGATCAGTTTAAAAATGCATTAACATGTGGTGATGTTCCATCGGTGGCGGACTTTAGTGGACGAGTACAAATGCAGCTACTGCTTTTGTCCTGGATCATTGGCCAACTTTTCCAGAAGTCTGACACTGCTGTTTGTTTAATATGTATAAACTATCTGTTTCTGAACGTAAAACAACTTGTGAAAAAGCTGAAAATTAAAAAGTGCTCGGATACTACATGTACTTAAGTAATGAACAGTAGCACCAAAACGTCTCAACGCGTCCGGTCAATATGGCTGACACTACACCGACCAGATGTACAGAATGTATGATTTTTGCACTGCTTGTTTGCTGTTGAATGCATTTACATTGACTGTAGTTTTGCTGTAAAATGTGTTGCGTAATAAAAATGGAGAAGATAGACGTGACTTGTGTCAATGTTTTTTATTGTATATACATAAATAAATAGTACATGTACAATACAGCTTTTGTAACCTGTCATTATCTATTATTTGCCCTCACATTTCTTGCATTCAGGTTTTGTATTTATCACTTTCCTGAGCATTGTGATCACATTCAGATAGTGTATGTATTGTCTTGCCTAAATCACATTTCTGATTTGCTTTGATGGAACTAGTATAGCTATAGTCGCAGCCCCGATGACTTTTATGTTATGCCACATTTTGCGTGGAACACTGAAAACACTTAAAAATAAGGTACATGAAAGAAATGAAAAAAAGTACTTGATCAGATTTGTGGTATTTATTTAATAGTCTACTTGCTGTAGGTGATTTTCCTGTAACAATTAACATGGAAACTTGCTTTCAAAAGCTGGTAATGCACCTGAAATGCTTGTGTTCTCTTTTATCCATTGAAATCTGTAATTCAACAATTGCATTACGTATACCTTTGATGATTGACGACCATGCATCTTCAAAGAAAAAATTGGCTGAATGCCTTTTATCGTTTACCTAATTCTAACCCAAACAGTGATGTTTATCCTGTAAACAAGCAGCCATGACTTTGAGTGTCTGACGTTTATCGTAACAAAAGTGATACAATTGAAATATTTAGTAAAAAGTTGCATTGGTCTGTTTATTTGCTGATGGATACCATGTGACATTAGAATGACTATTCTAATTCATCTTTTTGATGAGAACCTCCAATGGAATTTGCAGTACAGTAAAGGCTCTACCTGCTGTGGTTGATCTGTGTTTGAACTCCATATTTGAGGAAGAACTCTGATCTCCTTGTCAACATCAGAAGTTGCACCTTGACTAAAGTTGCTCAGTCTTAGCCAAGTAGAGGTTTGATGTACAATAGCAGTTTATTTAGCTAAGACAATGCCAGTTTACAAGTAGTGTAGTTATACAAACATTACGGTTTACAATCTACATGAGGAGTCTTGATTTACAGAAATAAACATGGCCAGAACTATAAGTCACATGACCAAGAGTGGTATAATTAATCCAACTCAAATAATTATTTGTTCATGGTGAAACTTTAGAAAGTTTCCTGTATTCTATCTTTAGAAAGAATGTTATGGAGAGAAATTTCTCAATAATCTAAAGAGCTTTGAAACTCACGGGAGCATATGATTTAGTAAAAAAAAAAAAAGGTTTTTGGCGATTACATATACCAGTTAAGTGCACCACATGTACAGTAGAATAATGAAATGTTTTTTAAATGTGAAAATGGCCAATAATAAAAATGTTGTCATGCATGTATGCAATTGCATGTATTAATGAATGTTGTTATTGAATAATCTTACAAATTAAAACCAGATAACTTTTTTGACCTTATTTTCTTGTTACCTCGTGTATGGCACCGAAGTTGGAACCACTCAACTATAGTATACGACTTTATATATCAACGAACGAAATTGTGTTTGCACCGTTAAGGGCGCTATAATATATGACTGGCCCGCTGTTTTCGCACAAAATGGCCGATGAACGGAGACGTCGTGGACGTAACTTTGTTATCACTGGCGGATCCAGAAATTCAGGAAGGGGGCGTGCGCTCCTATTGACGTGGCCAAAGTAGACCTCCGGTGAGCTGGGTTTGTCAATTGATTTGTCAATTTTGTTTTTGCTGGCTGAAGGGGAGGCGCGCGCCTGGTGCGCCTTCCCCTAAATCCGCGCGTGGTTGTTGTTGATATATTGATCTTTCGTTAGTTCGGCAGTTCATTCTGAAGGTGTAAGTATACAGTGTGCATTTTTATTGGTATCACCGGCTACAAAATGGTTAGGATACCTTGGCTTTACCGGGATTCTGCCAAAGAAGAATTTTTAATTATTTATATCGTCCCGGGATTCTGCCAACCTGGCTCCATACTATTCTGTTCACATGCAATTGCTGCAGACATCGAGGAAAGACACCTGTTTATAAAATTTCATAAGAAGTTCTAAAAGTAATTATTTTAACACAGTTGTTCCTACTATGATTCTGAAAATATGTGCTAATTCATTTGCCGAAAATGTATAGAAGGCACATTTCGTATTTAATTTTCTCGTCTTTGACTAAATTGCCACTTATGTATTTGTTTCTCGAGGACGAGTGTACCATAAAGAACACATAGTATCAGGTTTATCTTCAGGGTCGAATTAAATACGAAATATATTCCTTATGGCGTAGCTGGTCACCGCGATCAACTGTGTACTGCACAATCAGTCACTTGTATTGTGGTCGGTGAAGTGCCGACATTCCCACGATCTCTATGTCGATTCGAGTTATCGCGATTGTCATGATGACGACATCACATTAAAAAAATATGTTCACTGAGTGGTAACCTTCACAGTAATACAATATTTGAACTCTATGCATTACTATGCTTATATCAAAGCTCTAGATGATAAATGGTATAACTTTAATGATGGGTGTAACAGTATTTGATAGTGTAGACACAGTTCAGACAGAACAAGTATATTTACTATTTTATCAGTTCAAATTAGGCAACAGTGTTTTTGTAAGATAAGTACATCAATCAAGGACTTTTGGTAGACTGTTTTTCAAATCCTTAAACTTTTTTGTATTTAAAATTGCTTACTAGTATTCATATTGAAAAAAAACAAACTTTGATGAATGAAATAATATCATGTAATAAAGGGCAAAGTCACCAGGGGTTACCTTTTTTTGCGTGCTTGTATTTTGCCCATTATATGTAATTAGCCTCGCTATTCAATGTAACCATTTTAATTCCCCCAGTGATGTCCAGCCACGTATATATATGCAGGTGAGAAATCTAATTGAAATAGGATCTTAGTTTTTTTTTGTTTTTTTTTTGATAAATATTTTTTATTACCCATAACAAAAAAAAATTACAGGACTTTAATAAATACAGGATCTTAGTTTAGTTTAGTTTAATTTTATTTAAATATGTATTTAGTTATTTATTATATATATATTTTATTTTGTTTTGAATATATTATTTACTTGTTGACAGGTGTTTTAGTTTTAGGGCTTGGTAAGCATATATATATATATATATGCAAAAACGCCCTCGTCCCATTCTCAAACTATTCTCAATATATATATATATATATGATGGTTGTGTTAATCGCAATTATTGTAAAATGCAAACTTACCCATAGAGTTTATCCGTGTGATATAAAAGTTTTTGTAGTGATTGTAACAAGTTTGTTAAGATGTTACAGGAACTGATAAGTTTTTTTTACAAGCGGTTATTTTTCAGATATGCACGGTCCGCTTAATGTTTGATGTGCTATTCAAAAACTTGAAGTAATTATAGAGTTATTAAACAAATTTACATGAGTTTGTTGGTTTAGGTCATTGATACGTGACATATCGATCGATCAGCTAAATTAAATCACACGTGCTAAATTAGCCTCGAAGTCTGACGCAAGTCCGACGTCATACGGTAATTATGGCATCTTGAGATACCGTGTACACATGATGTGTGCCAAAACGCCACTTTAAATGCACGCCCTCAATGTCAGCCTCGCTCTGGAGTTCTATTCATTGCAAGTATTTTAAAGAAACATGGCGGCTGATAACAACGCCGGCTCATTTAGTCATTATACACAGGACCAATTAAAACCACTGATAACGAATGTTTACCAACTGAGTGAAGCCGGCTCTGTGGAACACGCGTGCACAAGGTAATAGAGCTATATGCAACATTCACAATTAGCGCGTATGTTTCTTGTGCGTTGCGAGTCATCTAAAAATCGTCATTTTGACAAAATTTTTTTTTTAATATTTTCCACTGCCGCATGAACCAGCGATTATAAAAATAGGTAACTTTTTTATTTTGTATGAACAGAAAAAAAAAATTGACTGGCGGATGTGACTGGCGGATGCGACCGGCGGATACTCTGACTGGCGGATGACTTCACTCCGGTCGTTTTTATATGTCCTATCAGTACTGTCTCTGAGCCCGGGCCTTGAGCTATTCTCATTTCGGTGACAGCGCTTTCTAATGTCATGCGCTTCACAAGAATTACCAAGCAAGCAAGGTGTCAACTGCATTCGCAATATACAACAAAAACTGCATGGCCTTTGATGTGCGTACGTGACGAGCGCCCTCGTAGTCATTACGTTGGATAACTTTGAAGCAGACTCGGTACGCGTGAATGACTAGTGTCCATGCACTCGTACAATATATTGTCACGTTTCTTTCCTCTGTTGCTATGTGTACTTTGAATTTCGTAGTACATAGTTACTGTTTAGATTATTTTGCCGCAAAAGATGCCGGGAAATTACCATGAAATGTAGAAACCAACTGTAGAAATAAGATCCCATACTATAGAAAATATTAGATTGTAGAACTCTTTTTATTATTATTAGTTTCGCATATATTTTTGGGCCCCGACACCCGCCCCTCCGGCGATGACATTTCAGTTTGCGACTGCGCAACAATATATACGCACATATCCTTCCAGATATTACTTATCAGTAACCTGCGTTTATTACAAGTTATTTTACGATCAGAATGCTAAAAGCCGTGGCTTCTCCATACTACCGCGAGTCTTTTATAACTTAATGTCACCAGCGGGCACTGCGAGTCCACCCACGTCTAGTGTGAAATGGTTTGTGATGTATTCTAGAGGAAATATTTTTATTTGCATCACGGTCATAACTGGAATAATCCCATTGTAGTTTTACTACTACAGATGATTTACAGACTAAATGTACTTGATTTAGTTTTTTTTATAAAAATTCCAGCTGTTTGTTTGTTTTTATAAGTACTGTTCTTCGTGTCACGATTCTTGCTCTAATTTATACCATCACTTCTCGATCCCACACGAGACAATTTCGCGCTTCACATCAGTACGTGCATTATCGTTTCGGGTAATTATTCTCCATAGGTGTGCGATGAGACTGTCTATTTTTCGCCACAATGCATCTTTTTAATAAGATGCTCCTGCCGGTGAAGAAGATTTCTGTAGTGACGCGGTACGACGCCTACCCACGTCATACATGCGCTTTGTAGCTAGAGGGCGCCGCACATAATCTGTACATCATCTGACTTGTCAGGCGCATCAACCACGTTCGTTGTTATGCACGTTTCAATGACATTGGCTTCCATGTACTGAAGCTAAATAAGCTAACGGACATCAGTCATAAAACACATTTTGAAGACATCGACATATTTATTGTATGTTTAAAGTACAACATTGAGGCACTTATAAATGTTCTAAACTAGCTGTGCACAACAGAATTAAAAAATATGAATCATGAATGTAGTTACATCCCCTTTTATGGCAACTCGTCACGGAGACGTTCAAGAGACCACGTGATGCCACACCCGAGGCAACATGGATCAAATTACCAATACCTATTTTTATCATAATCCAAGAAGCAAACGGAAAACAAGGATTACGTAGTTAATTTCCAAGCGATATAAAGCAGACAGTACTACTATGATATTCAATGATGTTTTATTTTATTTTATTCAAATGTATTGTATTATTCATATGATAACTGTTCGCATGCATTTTACTAAAACTTTATCAGGAAATTCGAGACTATTTCAAGATCATGTGAGCGCTATCTTCTTATCGCACACGTGCTCCCTGATACATTTCATCACTGAAACAGTATCTCGTTTATTCCATCAACAGCTTACTTTTACCGGCAGTGGAAGAATACGAGAACAAAAACCGTGTCTTTAGTAATTTAGAATTATTAAATAAATCAGTTGCACAACATCGCGGCGCTTCTTGCGTAAATATAATATTTTTTCTTTCTTTAAACGATTCTACTTGAATCTAACTTGCAACTCCCTAATTCACTGATTGTCCGATATTCTTCTGTAAATACGAATGATAACGCAAAGAATTGACCCAGTTTACGTTTTCCTCCCCATCGTCAACATCCGTTTTCCTTGTCTGAACCCCTCCGGATATATTTAATATTTCATTTCAATATTTATCTCAAATTAACTAAATACACCCACGTCTCAGGTAGCGATATAACGTACACAATAACACCATTTGAATATATCCTTAAATTATGCAAGCTGAATCATGGGATTTCAGTGAAAATACAAATTATTCATGGACAAAGTTAA